AATTTATTTTATCTAAAATAATTTTTTGATATTTTTAGAAGATTCATCTATTTTTTATGAACATACGCCTAAAATTTCAAGTGATTTGGATTTCTAAAAAAAAAATATTCAAATACTACCGGCATCCTTGATAGTCAGATCGGCCTAGATTCAATCTGAGCCATTGGGCTCATATGTTCATATGAGCTAGTGGGCAAACCCCAGCTTTTTCTCTCTATATATATATATATATATATATAATGCTGGGGTTAGCCCACTAGCTCATATCAACATATGAGCTCAACGGTCTAGATTGAAGTGGAGCCGAATTGATGGTTACGACCTCATTTCGTATTTAAATTTTAATTTTTTTTTACTACAAATCCAAATTACATGAAATTTTAAAACGTCCATTCTTTATAAATTGGAGAACCTAATAAAAATATCAAAAAAATAAGTTTCAATAAATAAATCTACCAAAATACCCCGAAACATTTCAGGGGTATTTTAATCAATTTATTTTTTGTGGATTATTTTTTTAATATTTTTATTTAAGTGTGTTTTAATAAGAAGAATGGACGTATAAAATTTCATTTAAATTTGGATTTGTAGAAAAAAATTAAGTTTCAAAAACAAAATGAGATCATGACCGTCAAATTGGCCTAGATTCAATCTAGGCTCTGGCTCGTTCGGTTCATATGTTAATATTAGCTAGTGAAACTCACCTCGCCAATACGGCAAGGCCGAGTAACATGGCCAAGTCCTGGTACGCTATATATATAGTTCCCTCTAGCGAAACTCGCCTCGCCCATACGGCAAGGCCGAGTAACTTGGCCAAGTCCTGGTACGCTGACAAGGATATATGATATTTATGAGAAACACATCTTTCCGAACAATGGACAAATATCTTCTAGGTTTCTTATAAGATACTATCCAAACCAAAGTTCACAAAATCGAACCAGAACGGTTAATCGGACATGGCCAAGAAGCGGTTTAACCAGCCTAACCGGTAAACCGGCCGATTCAACCATTCTAACCGGGTAAGTCCCAGACAATAAAAAAAGCGTTGAAAAAAATAAAAAAATACAAAAAAAAACTACAAATATGTGAAATGTATATAAAGAATAATTAAAACAAAACACATTCAAATGAAGTTGAAAATTAAAGAAAAATAGATTTTAAAGAATCTATTTGTGCTTAGGGATATTTTAAATTTTTTTTGAAAAATATAAAAATGAGTATTAATGACCAAAATAATTTTTAATCTTTACATAATGTAAATAATATTAAAAAATGTATTACAAACCAAGTTCCTTATTTTTGAGAATTTATATACAATTTTTTGAATTTTTTTTATATACCGGCCTATCACTACCCAAAGGTGGTTACTGGTTAGATCGCCCGTTTTTTCCAATAGTGGAGAGAGCAGTATTTGCGAAATCAAACCGGAACGGTTAACTGGACACGGGCCTAGAAGTGGTTTAACCGGCCAAACCGGTAAACTGACCGATTCAACCGTTCTAGCCGCACAAGTCCCAGACAGTAAAAAAAAAATTGAAAAAATTAAAAATATACTAGAAAAAAATCTATAAAAATATGGAAAGCATATAAAGAATAATTAAAACAAAACACATTCAAATGAAGTTGAAAATTAATGAAAAAAATGAATTTTAAAGAATCATTTTGTGTCTAGAGATAGTTTTTAAATTTTCTGAAAAAGATGGGAAGATATAAAATTATGAATTAATGACCAAACCAATTTTTAATCTTTACCATTATGTGAAGAATATTAAAAGATTCATTACAAACCAATTTCCTTATTTTTTAGAATTTTATATAACATTTTTTTGAATTTTTTTTTAAAATATCGACTATTCACCAAAAGTACCCAAACGGGAACCGACCAATGGCCAGTTCTGATCTAACCGGGCGGTTACCAGTTAGATCGCCCATTTTTTCCAATAATGATCCAAACAAGAGATACCTATATTCCAAGAGATCCCAATTCAAGGAGATGTCAATTCCAAGATAGGCATCTATCCAGGACATTTATCTCCTGGTATCCAAATAGGCTACCTGTATAGCTTTATGCACTGATGTAAGTGCACAGTGTGCAAAGTGCACCTCAAGCACACTTGCACCCTCGCCCTTGCACACAAGCACGTATGCACGCACGTGCACTATCATTCTTACCTTTAGAACTGTTCTAAGAATACAAGGTATTTGAATCCCCACTCTTAAATACCACTTAATCCACATTTCGTTTCAATGCAAGACTAAAAACCCACACATATCTCTCTTTATAAAATAAAATTTAGAAATACCACACAAAACACTATATTATTATGAAATACACACAAATATTTTACAAAACCAAAATTACTAATAATAATTAATTACCTTGTAAGTCTTCTTTCATCAATAACATTAGTAATATTGTTAAGTTATATATATTAAAAAAAAAAGAAAAAAAAGGTAGAAGTCAAACTAGGATTTGTTGTTCTTTCGCTCAAAATACTGGACTTTGAAGGAAGGAATGACACGCGCCTAGCCCTCTGCATCTCATGGCTTAGTTGGGGCCAAGCTAGTATCAGTGCATGTCTGTTTCATGGAAGCCCTGACGTCCACAAACCATGGCCCTGCATGGGAGTGTAAGTGCAATTTGAAAGCTATTGTTGCTTCCAACGGCTTTAAAAGATAAGGAAAATGTTTATGTAAGGTGTCATTTTTATACTATTGAAGTAAGGTGCACCTTAATCCTCTAGAAGAAAGTGTTCTACTATTGGAAAATATTGTACTTTGATCGTTTCGATTTGAAGATTATGCATAAGAAGGGGAAAAAAAAAATCAAGTCCTTAAAATTATACATCTTGTAACAAATTTTTTGACTGTCTATTTCAAGATTTTCAAGTGTTTATAAATTTACTTGATCTGTACCATGTTTTTAGTTTTGAATTTCATTATTAAGGAAAAAAGTAAATTTTCAAATCATCATAAGATTTCCAAAACTTGAACTACATCTTCAAGCAATTTACTTGTGTACCTTACTTTTGTGGTATAAGGTAGGCTGCTTATACATCATTAAAAAAAAAACGGGGGCTCTTTATACAAACTTCACCCAAAAAATAATGTCAATTCACGTTGTTTTTTGGAATCCAACAGTTTCATGGTGTTTTTGGCTTAGAAAATTAGGTGGCATCGCCAACAATTTGAGGAGGAAACCGATCTCAGATTTGGTTGTAAACATGGTAAGCATAGACTTCCAAATTTCATATAAGACCACCAAATTCTTTTCCTTGGAGTTCCAATGGAGGACATAAGGAAACAGATGCGGCCATTATTGTGTTTTTATAATGATGATAGCCTTTAGAGAGGGGAAAATTGATATTTGGGAAAAGAAAAAAAAAGTAAAAGATGTGGCAAAATATAAGAAGAAAAAAGTAACCCAAAAAAAAAATAAACTTGCATAGAAGTCTTCAAAAAGTACCGTACTTAATTTTTTTCGAAAAAGGATATTTTCTAAGATAACAGCCTGTTATTTATGACATTCTAAGTAAAAACATTTGTTGTTGCTTCCTTTATATTATTTTTTCAACGGTTATGGGCTGGGAGACTATTTACAATGCCCATTTTCACCTGTCAGACCCATTGTGACCTCTGTTCGTGGTTCTGTTATATTTGGACAAGTTTTTTTCTTTCCTTTCTTTTGAGTTTCTGTTATATATATATATATATATATATATATATATAGTGCGGTTTGTGCCTATTAGCTATATTACCAATGTTTTCTAACCTTGATTCTCTAATAGGTCTTTCTCTCCTCTCTCTCTCTTGCTCTCTCAATATGTGAAGTTCAAACTTCAAACTTCAAACTATTGTTCACAAAATCACCCGATCTGATCGCTAACCGTTCGGTTAGATCGGAACCGGCTATTGGCCAGTTTCAGTTTTGGCAGGTTAAGGTGATCAAGCAGTTTTTTAAAAAAAAAAAATTAAAAATTGTATATAAATTCAAATTTGATTTGTAATGTATTTTTAAATATTCTTTACATTATGGTAAATATTAAAAATTATTTTGGTCATTAATACTCACTTTTATATTTTTCCATCTTTTTTAGAAAATTTTAAAAATAGCCATTGAAAAATATAAAATGGGTTTAAATCTATTTTTTTCTTTAATTTTCAACTTCATTTGAATGTGTTGTTTTAATCATTCTTTATATGTTTTTCATATTTCAGTAGATTTTTTTTGTATTTTTTTTAATTTGTTTCAACACTTTTTTGACCGCCCGAGATTTGCCTGATTAGAGCAATTGAGTCGGTCGGTTCACCGGTTAGGCTAGTTAAACCGCTTCCAGGCAGGCCTATGTCTTGTTAACCGTTCTGATTCGATTTTGCGAACCGGTATAAACACAATTTCTTGTTTTTTAATAGCGTTGATTTCATTAATAATGGAGGAAAAATATAAGACAAAGATTATCTATTTTTAATACAAAGAGATCACAATCACTTATGTCAATCTTATAAGAGAGAGATCATCTATTTTTACATTAGATGGTTGTAAACAATTGTAACTTCCCTATACTAAAGATAATGGTCTCATGGTATACCATTTCTATTTTAAATCGTGGTGGCTATAAGTATGTTATCAACTAGATTTAAAAATAAAATAATAATTCATCAAAAAAATTTTAAAGCATCAATTTTTTTCGAATTTCGTGACATACCCCCAACCATCCAATTTGGCATTTAATAGCTAAGAGTAACTGTGACTCACAACAATCGTAAAGTAAATGACTTCATAATATCAATGATGCGGTTAACATACAAGCTAAGCCTGAACATATAGAAATGTAGACCTCTTAATAAATTTATTTTTTAGATGTGGTTAGCATGCATATCAAGTTTGCACATATAGAAATATTGACCTCTTTATAAATACGGCCCAAATCTACATATTTAAGATGGATGCTTTATACCTATAGACTGCAGTTTGTAGAAATGCAATTCACCCGACATAAAATATTTTTCTTCGGTTTTAATACAAAGAGGTCACAAAACATTATTGTCCACAAATCCCCATCCATCCTAGTTTTAGAACGAAGGCACAAATCAACAACCGTGCTTGTTAAGTGTACCGTACTTTTTCAAGTTTATTGGTTGAGAGATTTCACTAGGGCCTGCAATATCGTATAGAGGGAGATTCAGTAGGGAGAGACTGGAGATAGATTTCAGAAGGGCCTGCAAAAGAGAGAGAGAGAGAGAGAGAGAGAGAGAGAGAGAGATTTCAGTAGGGCCTGCAATATCTTGAGAGAGAGAGAGGAGTCGTCTTCACTTAAGCGATGGACTCTTCTTCAGTCGATAGCGCCAAGTTCCAACGACTACTCGAGGTTTCCCTGCAAACTCTTCTCATTGTTTCTTTCTGAATTAGTACTTTCTACTATTAATAAAAATGCCCATTTTCTTTTTGATCTTTCATATATATATATATATATATATATATATATATCTC